TTTTGTTGTGCTCCTTGTCAACCGGTGCAGCTTCTTACTCCCTTCAGCTGTCCTTGAAGTGTACTTACACCCTCATATTTATAGACCAGGTGATTAGGTGCTAGGTACAATGTGGCAAAGGAAATATGTAGACGTTATACTGCAAAAGCTCAAAAGCACAGCCATACACAGGCATCAGTGAACACTAATTAACATAAATATGTACTGTTGCCATGGCAGCCTAATTTTGAAGGCCTTTTATCATTTGAGATCACTTTATAAACTAGTGCAGTCGCAATCTTTGGTGACATATTAATGATTGTTGTCAGTGGTGGTGCTCGTTTGATGGTTGTGTCAGGCGGTGGAATATACTTTGTTGTGTCAACATGTTGTTGCTAAGACAAAATGATGCTCTCGATTTGAGTTTGCCCTTTGTGTGTTTTAAATAGTCACGTGTTGTTGTCACGTGAAAACTTTGTAACTCAGATTTTGTTGGTTTTAATGTCCTCACTTGAACTAAAGGATTTTACAAGCGAGTTAATAGAAGTGAAAGCTGTCTAATTGCACTTCCTCAAAGTCGGAGATGCAGGGTTTTTATGTGCAACAGCTAGTTAGCGATCTTCACCGTTGAGCCATTGATGTCCCATTGTACCAAATGAAAGAAGCTAATGCTGCGTGACAAAGTCAAAATACTGAAAGCTTATTTCGGGGCAGTGGGTTACTGTGTGCAACGTCTTTGTTGTTGCTTTGAGAAAGTGGACAGTTTGGCTACATTCACACTGTCGACTGAACACGTGACTGCTCAGTGTGGTTAGATAGTGATGATGGTGTTGTGAGGAAATGCATCCCAGTGTCGTCTGTCAAGATTTTGCAAGAAAAAGTATATTTTTCTTGGATATGTTTATAAATATATATATATATATATATGATGTACAATATATGGAGCACATATGCATGACGAAATTCAAAGAATTTAACTTTTAGGTGTGCCTCTGTTAGTGAATCCACCAGACGGCCCCATATATGCATCGGAAGACTGTCAGCTGCTCATATTCTAGAAGAGCAGAGGAGTTTGCTGCAAATATAGAAAGTGCACCTTTAGGGCTAAAAAATTGTGATGATTTGTGAAAAAGTGATGTTTTGTGTTGGTCAAAGAAAAATGAATCAAACACACAGCAGCGTTGTAGTTCTCGAGATTGCTTTTTGAATGTCGCAACTCGGACTTGGATTCCATCACATTTCGACTTGTTCTTGGATTTTATTTCAAGACCGGTTAAGACTACACCTGCAGGGATATCACTAAATCACCAGTGTAAAAAAAAGGAGTGTTGAGTAAAGATGGTTGATTTCAGCTCTGTAGTGTTTGTTTGCTCATGGAAAACAAAAGAATATTCCCATGCATAAAATTCACCTCTGCAGTGTCTTCTCATTGTTTTATCCAGACATTTCTCATGGTTCACTTTTTCAAACACACATATACAGTATATGGTAGTAAAAGGGGTGAATGAAGAGGAATCCTCATTTGTTTTCTGTGGTTGTTTTAATGGGAATGTGGATCTTTCAGATCAATTTGAGGAGTGCCTACGGTTTGCATGTTCCACATTGTTGCGTCAGTGTGTCATATAGTGTCGGACTTGTGCTGGTCTGGTCTTCACCTTGTCCTGACTGGGGCTCGATACGCTTGACTTGGTCTCGGTTTAGGTGGCCTTGGCTACAACACTGCCCTACAGTATGACTGCACAGGCCACTTTCACACTTAAATTCACCTCCATCAAACATCTGTGGTCATGTCAGGTTAGGTTTCTGAAATTTGAAGTTGCACAGTCATTCATTTGAAGTAAACTGACTGAGTGTTAAGGAACTGCTATCAACTTCTGCACTGAAACACACCATGATTGTGTTTTTATGTGATCCTAAAACTGAAGGGTTTAATTCTAATTTGCTATCCAGATAATTGTATAAATGACCTGTGATTTCCCACTTCGTTATGAGAATGGGGATGTCTTTATTGTTTTCAAACGACTGATATCAAACTCTTCTTTCACCTTTTATTCTCTATTGTCATTCATATTTTCATATACACACTAAACCCCCAGACGACCGCTTCTGTTTGAGTCCCTTACCTCCATCTGTGACACTGAGACATGATCACATGCACTGCAGGACAGTGTTTCAGAGTTAACATCACTGATTGTATTCCAATATTTGATACAAACCTTCACTGCATGACTAAGACATTGTGTGTTGTGTTTGGGGTGTTTTCCTGTATTGGGTGAATCTGCTCTTTATAACCTTTGCTGTGCTACTGTAGTCGCATTTGTGTTGCTATTTTAAAGGAGCTTTTTGTGTATGTTGAAGATAGTATTTGTTTATGGTGCTGGATGATGTTGAAGGTACTATGGTTACTGCTAATTAGGATTTCATTCATTGTCTGGCAGCTGTCATTGCTCCTAATCAAACAGCTTTAGCTTCTGCTTTTGTCCTTTGTGTTTTTCTGCTCTTGGAATTATGGCGCGAAAGTGTCAAGAACAAAACTGGAGGGTTGTAGTCAGCATTTAGAGACATCTGTAAACATGTATCTCAGCTTGTGACTGTGCTGTACCACCATAACATGTCGCACCAGTAGATCTAGCCAAAGATGAGACGGGTATGAGTTGTACAGAAATTGAGGAGAGGAAAAGTGTAGCTTTTGAGGTTTTTGTTTCAGCTTTAACGAACAGACCTTTTGTCAGCTTTTCTCATGCAAAAACATGTTTATTTTTTACAGAAATGGTCCTCAACTTTGTCAGTGTAACACCAAATTTTTCAAGAACATCGCAAAGCATTTCCTTTAACTCACAGTTAACAGATTGAAGATATAAATAAATAATGCAGTTTAGATAAAAATCATGTTTTGGCGATTTTGTCGACATTACAATAAATCTTGAACTTACTCCACATAGCTCCAGTGAAGTCAGAGGCACCTACTAATTCAAAACTTTGGTTGCCATGAAGAAAATGTCAAATCTTTCCATACTGAAGGCACAGATGTAAAGACAATCTGTTACTGTTACACTCCGTGAATGTTTTGGTTATGTCATGTACATACAACTTTAACACAAGTAGTCCTGTCAGTATTGGTGCACAGTGTTTTCTCCCTCTATTTTGTATTGTGTTGAAATATATTTCCGTGATGTGGAATGTATTATACTCAGAGCAATAGAATAAAATATGTAACATGAAAGTCCAAACCTTCATTTGACATTATTAAACATTGTATATTGTAAATGAGTCAGTCGTTTGTCACATGGAATTAGACATCTCCTTTTTTTTTCTTGCATCATCTTACATTTTTGCTGCTGCTTTATAATTGTCCATGTTTCTGGATGGTTCTGGGAATTCATGGTTTCTGGTCTGTGGAATGATTTAACTGTTCCTGACAGCAGTATAGTTGCTTCGCCTAAACATGGGCAGCAACTCTACTCTGCATGGTATACAGCAGTGATCCACAGCAGGAACGAGACAGCACCTCACATTCCCACCAACACACCAGACTGTATTCCCCACAAAGCAGTCTGGAGTCTTCCAAATATTCTTTAAAGGTCTAGTGCGTAGGATTAACAGGCATCTAGCGGTGTGGTTTAAATCTAAAGTTTCTCACATGTGCAATACATGTACGAGATCTATGATGGCTGACACGAAAACGTGAATGGCCTCTGTAGAAGAGGACCAAGGAGGTTAAAAAGAGAAGTCATACCAATGCGGTACAACACACTTGCAGTGGTATCCACAGTCAGCCTTGGGTTGGAATAGTTTTGTACGAAAAATAAAGACATGGGTGAGAATTTCAACCCTGTAATTTGTTTAAAAAGTCTGTAATAAAGATCATAAACCAATGTTTTCTATATGCAAACATACCACTGAATATCATTAGCCATTTAAATGAGTGTACCTCAAAGTTCTGTCAAGCCGAGCACAGCTACTGAGCATCTGAGCCGTTACCGTCCCTTTATTTCTAGCGACGTCTGCTGTAACCCTCCAACATGGTGGCTCCAGTTACATCGCCCACGTGTCATACCCCATAGCTCCCATGGGGTTAAAGAGTGTGTCCCAGCCTTTAATGTATTGCCTTGAAGAGGATCCACTCGTGAATCTGCATTTCCTAGGATATCAAAGGCATGACCCAACCTACTTTACCTTCCTCTGTCTCTGAATGGCTTACCCTGACTTTTTACCCTAACCTCAACCAGTCTCACTCCTCTTGCCTCAACCTAACCAACGAAGGCAACGAGTACTTGTCAATCATACACAAGTAGGACAGGTCATGCCTTTGCTATACTGAGAAACTCAAATTCATAACCTGCTCCGTGTGTAGATATAAACAGCTCATTCAAGTTAATGAAAATATAACGATTCTTATTTTCAGGTGATTATACACTTAAAAAAAAACAGCTATGAATATCATAAACATTTCTGATGATAGATGCCCTTTAATTCCTACACACTGGACCTTTAAATATAATATCGTCATTCTGCTCTTGAGTAAAGGCCAGAGAATAAACTTTAACAAGTGAACACTGTTGTAGAGAGAAACAGTTCTGGTCTGATAAGACTTGTTTGGTTAACAACCAGGGAAATATGAGGCAATCTGATAAAACTAAGATTAAACTGAGAATGTCATCTGAACTGTTACATATGTTTTGGACACACACTGAAGATAAAATACTGCACAGGATTAGTGATTTAAATGTGATAACAGCTGATTTTTTTACCAACGTGTATGGACCCATCCTGAGCTTTCAACAGTGTTCAGTTTTCAGCTGTAGAACATGGATATATTCATCTTCTGGTTATGTGGTCTGCTTACTAGGCCAATCAGAATGGAGAATTTTCAGTGGTTTGTTTATGTGACAAAGTTGTGCAAGAAATAAAAAGACATCCGGGAGAGTTGGTAGAATCTATCCAAACCTATGTAACTGTAAAATGTCGTCCCAATACACAAATTAAATCTTTAAAAAATTAAACACACAGCACAGTGAACATATGGTGATAAGGTCTTCTTTATTTATTATTAATTTTATTTTCTCAAGCTATTATTCACATGTACAGGTACACACATTCCCTCATACACACACATGCTTCAGGCAGCACTAACACTCCTCAACATGGCGACAATGGCTGAGCCTGCATGTGTTTGCGCATCAAACCTGCTCGTCTCAATGTTGAGTATGGAGTCAAGTCGTCATTATCACACACACAGACTGCAGACACACGTTCGCCATGTCGGAGGCCCGTTCATGTGCCTGACCAGGAGAAGCAAACGAAGACAACACAGAGGAACGTTACTACAAATGTACCCCTAACAGACTGCTAATAGAATAATTAATCAAGTGTGTAATGCAGCCTTTAGATGGACGTATGTGTTTTTTTAAAAGGCAGATTTCAAATGTAAATTTAATGGCTGATGTACCTGATTGAAAATACTGCCTTGAGTCCCTTACTATCTGTTTTTAATACCCGTCTTAAAAAAAAATAGCTTCCAGGTGTCTGCAGAGGTAAAAAGGAATAATCAGTGTCAAATCCTGTAATAATATTGGCTCAGCTCCACTTTCACAACCCACTATAAATTAACGTGCAAAAGACAGAGGTATATTGTGATATTAATACACACAGACTTGGATGTCATTATAATATCAGTATTTCAATGATGGACTGACTCAAGTTAAAAATGCACATTCTTAGTTCTAGTTTTGATCTAATTACAGTGTACCTTTGTCTAATGCCATTTGTTAGGAATAAAAAACATTTATTTCGCTGGCACAATTTTCTTAACAGCCTCTAAAACATCTGCAATCTTCACTTTATTGCCAAACTCCTTCTCACGGTGTTCCAGGAGAATCCCCTGCAATCACAACACGCAGTTAAAATACAGTTTTATGAAGCTCTATTGAGCCAAGTGATCCTCACATGGTCCAGTTTGTTTGCTTACCTGATCTCCTGCTCCGATGACAAACACCCCTCCCAGGATGAAGCCCTCGCCGTTCATGTTGCCCTGATACCCAGACCTCCAGGCTCGGATAAAGTTCTGCCACACCCCGAGACGAAAGAACCCCAGACCCCCCATCTTCCTCTGCAGCGGGCCGTAGAAGTGTTTCTACAATCACACGGTTTAGTTTTAGTCAGCATGGTCATGAGAGATGAACTGTCCTCGTGCTTTATCATCTCACATTATGATTCTTTTAAGGTGCTCTATCACCTCATTTGTCATCTCTCAAGTTGTGCCCCCAGCAGATGAAACAGGAGGATCACTTATAATCTAGTTCTCAAGATATGTATCTCATTTTAATTGTGTATGTAAATTACTCATCCCATGTTACATTGAACTAATGAAGAAATTTTTTTTTCTTGCATGGCTCTCCAGTAAACAAAGAATCCAGAAACTGAGAAAATTTCTTGATGAATTAGAGTAACAACGCTCCATGTTCACCAACAGCAAAACTGTTTCAAATCATCTGTTTACAAACTCTCACACACTCATGCAGTATAATCCAAGTCTTGTTTTTCCAGTTTTATGCTTATTACTTGCCAAACACATGCATCTTTGCTAAAACCTCACTTTTTAGACACTTCTGCACAAACAGCCCAGGCACAGAACTTGATGAAGCCATGGGCGAAACACGTTGTTTGTAACATTTCAAATGAAGACTAAATTAAAAGAAGAAGCAATTCAGCCCTCTTCTGTGCAGTGTATCTGCTTATCTACCATCAATCTGAGGTTTCCTGCCATCACCTGCCCCAAGTTATGAGGACTGACAGCGCTGTGCACAGGGCATGTGGTTTTGAATGAGCGCAGACACACTGTTCGTCTGTACAAGAGACTTTTTAAGCAGAAGTGTTTTACATAGTAAGGTTTTAGTGAAGTGATTATAAGTGGATAAATATGACTTGGATATGCTGCACAAGTTATGTGAGAGTTTGTAAACAGACTCTTTCAAATAGTTTTGCTGTTGTTAAACTCGGCCTCCATTCACTCTAATTCATCTAGTTCCTCAAGAAAGTTCACCTTTTTTGGATTCTTTGTTCACTTTCGAGGCATTTCCTCCACAAATTCAACATAACACGGGGCAGGTGTCTGATATACAAATAATCATGTGGAGGGTGAAGCATTTAACCTATTGGGGGCGGCAGTAGCTCAGTCCATGGGGACTTAGCTTGGGAAACAAGGGTCACCAGCTCAAGTGCTTATACGGACCCAATATGGAGCATGGACTGGTAGCTGGAGAGATGCCAATTCACCCCCTTGGCACTGCCGAGGTGCCCTTGAGCAAGCCACCAAATCCCCCAACTGCTCGGGGGCACCTGTCCAAGGCAGCCCTCTCACTCTGACATCCCTCCATTTAATGCATGTAAAGGTCCTGTTTGTGCATGTGTATTTTGGGCCTGTGTGTATATGACAACAGAGTAAAAAAAAAACAACAGAATTTCCACTCAGGGATTAATTAAGTGTGTCTCTTATTCCCCATTCAAGGATCATTAAAAATGTATGAGGGTTGCTTAGTTAACCAAGACTCCAGTGGCCATATTCATTCCAATAATGGACCACACAGATCCAAACCACAACTGGTAACCTCACAAAAGATGAAACACTTCAATAAACAGAAATTAAATAGTGACAATTTTGATAATGATTTAATAGTTTAACAGCCCGAGCTGAGCCTAAGCTAATGTGAATAATTCCAGTTTCATTTATAGAACACTAAGAAAAATGTAGAGAAACAGGTTGGGGCAGGTTGTCATTATCAGAGTGTGCTGCTGGGGGACGTTTTAATTTTGTAATGTAGTTAGTGACTGTGGAAGATCTGTTGTTGTTGACCACTGCTAACCTGTTCATCTACATAGATGTCCCCAGCGAAATGCGGTCTGAAGTCCTGGATCTCTGTGCCGACGTTCTCCTTCACCACGGCGACCAGAGGGACCCCGAGCTCTTCAAGCTGGGGCTTCAGAGAGGACAGCTCAGAGGCCTCCTACAGAGAGACAGAGAAAGTATACTATTAGGGGACATATTACTCATGTACACTGTATACACTTAAACTCTGAGTTTTATGTAACATCTTGTACTCTGTCACTCAGAAACTTTTTGCATCACCTCTCTGCACAAAAATCATCCAGGTCGCCGCACGGCCATGATCACAGCCCCGTTCGTTTCCCATAGGCTCTTTGCTTTAATGACGTTGTCATCTGCAGACAAAACAAGAAGACACTGTGTCAAAAGGCTCCAATCTGACATGTCTCTGATAAAGAAAACACAAGCATGGCGTAGGTTTTACTACTGCAATCATTCAGTAAAGCTGTAGAGTGCTGCAGGAGTCCTAACACCTGGAATTGAGTTAGGATTTTTGCACTTTGGTTCCCTCGTCTTGAAGTCAATGTTTATTTTTGACTGAATTTTGATTAGATGCCTAGAATAAGGTCTGTGGTTAACACAAGATTAAGAGATTTCCAGGTTTTGTCTATGACATAAAATGTGCCAGTAAATACCCCATGTACCCACATTATGAAGCTTCTACAGTATGTGTCTTAAAAATGCTGTTGCTAACAAGTGGCTAAATAAGACTACAGAGGCTGCTGATGGGAAAATCCCAGTGGGCAATAGTAACTTCCTTGTTGATCTACAAATAAACGCCATCCCTCCAGCGTGGAAGATAAAATATGCAGCCTTCAAATGGAGAAAAGGCTAAATGTTCATGATCAAATGGAACATCTATATGTATTAAAAATAGCACAGTAACTGAACCTTAAGCTTACGACAAAGACCCTTACAGTGATCTAATCAGTAATACCAGCAGATTTGAGAAAGCAGCTTTGCCTTAAATGCCACACAAAACCTCATTCAGTGCATGTACAATACATACAAACATTCAACAGTAAAGAAAACTGCAAACAGCTGATTGTGCTGATGTTATGTTAAGTCTCCTCCTAATGGGTTTAACGACAGCCGGTGTTGAGATTATAAAACAGCCAATCAGAAAACCTACCTACCCTCTATTGTGGAGTGCAGGTCGGCCTCTTCAAGGTGCTGCATTGATGCCTGGTCAACTTTAGGCAGACACAGATCAGTGTTGGCAAGGAAGATCCCAGCGAGTGCAGCTCCTACAGCACCCAGACCCAACGACCACATCCCCATCCCCAACAGCTCCCCATCCAGCGTGGACAATACTACAGCACGACATGCAGCAACATGAGGAGAGAAATGTGTCACAAGTTTGACATGAACATAACGACAAACAAACATTCTTTGCTTTGACAGTAAAGTTTTTAAAGGTTTCTTTCACACTGCCGCTTTTAGCTGGGCCATGAGATGTGCAGTATTTGCACTTTTCTAATTGTTTTATCTCTTACACAAGAAAACCTCAGACCTTCCTGAGGCTGAGACACCAACAAGACCCAGCTTGTAGGTTCTGTCTTGCTTGAGCCTAGAGTTAATATCAGTCTGTGTGTGGTGCATTTTACCAGCACAGACTCTTCTCAGTTTACTCTCATCTACAGCTCATCCATGAGATTAAATAGCTCACATACTTACTACAGAGACAGGAGGCTGCTCAGCATGATGAGATAACCAGTTTGTAGATGCTATTTCTGACTGCAGCTGGTGTTTTTTTTTTTTTTTTTGATGAGTCATCAGGAAAGCTAACTTTTGTTTGTAGGGGTGTAACGGGACACAAAATTTACAGTTTGGTGCAGTATGTAGCTTTGGTTTGAATGCAGAAACATTTTTTTTCTTTGATTTGAAAAAATGTAAACATTTACAGAGACCTCAACACAAGCAGCTGCCGTTTCGGCCATTTCAGAACCATTACACCTCTATTAGTTTGAATAGTTCGTTGTACTTTCACTTGTACTTTATTTTTTTTTTCTTTTAAGATTTTTTTGTCTTCTGCCTTTACTTGATAGGAGTGTTTAAGCCTGAAAGGGGGAGGGAGAGAGAGAGAGAGGCATGCAACATGCAGCACAGGGCCACACGTTGGAATTGAACCTGCAGCCGCTGTGGCAAGGACGCTGCCTTTATACATGGGTCGCCCACTCTACCCACCGAGCTAGTGGGCGCTCCATATTTTTTCCATTTATGAATTTACTTTTCATTATTTTTTTCTTTAGGAGTTTCTTTTTGAAGTGTAATGAAGGGCTGCAACTAACAGTTCATTTTATTATCAGTTAATCTGCCATTTGTTTTTTGGATTGATTGTTCTTTCTAAAAAAAATTCCAAAGACCAAATGTCTTTTTTAATTTAACAGTTACTCTAAAGCCTGTACATCAAAAGTACATCAAGTTAGAAGTGAGAGGCAGAAGCTGTGGATTTTTGGAATTCTTGCTTAAAAATAGGGTGAAATATTAATCAATTTTCTGTCAATCAATATGTCAATTAATTGTTAAAAATAAATTAATCATTTCAGCTCTAGTGAAATGCACATTTTTTTCTCAGTTAGTGAAATTATACATTTAGCAACAGTGATTGAAACTCCAGTCCTGAGATAATTTTAAAAGCACAAACTTTAGAATTCTAACTCTTATCAAAACATTTTACAGTGCGTGAAAAGATAAAATCATTATATCAAACAATTATTATTTTATTTTGTCTACTTTCATGATACTCCTCAGTGTCATGAAAGTCAAGAGTCACTTCAGCACACGTTAGAAAGCAGGGAAACACTGCACACAGGTCACGGCTGTAACGCTGTTTCTACAACACGCTTGAAGTTTGGGTTATAGTAGGGAACAGCTATGTAGGCAGTCAATGTGTTCTTGCCTGAGGAGGGCTTGTTTGGGTCAGGGACAGGACTGGCTTTGGCTTTACTTTGGTGAAACTGAGCAGTCTGGGTTCTTAGAAACTGGGGCCTGGCTGCGGTGGAGGGCTGGCTGCTCATGGTAGCGCTCCCCAGAGGGAGGGCAGAGCAGCGCAGTGATAGTTTCCAGCTCAAAGCTGTCGGACACCTGCACAGAGCCAGCATCGGGATCGTGGAAAAAGTCTGACCTTCTGACTACAAACACCCTCAAGATCTCACTGAAAGAAAGAAACACAAGTCTTTTCTAAGAAAGTTAAACAACTTGTGCCATATCACAGTCCGTTTCAAAGACAGTACAATCCACCTCCACTGCAAACACTGCTTTCAAGGAGGCTGCATTTGATTCACAGATTAAGAGAGAGAAAAACATGGCATCTCTTTTCATAATCAGACTAGCCAGATAAAACTTTATACTTACCATTAAACCAGTTAGCCAAGTTTTATCTCTGCCTTAAATATGAATTTACAACCCACCCTGCAGAATGGGCAATGTCGAAATGAAAACACAATAAAACCATGAAGTTGAAAATATGTGACTCGTCTTGATAATCTTGCTGGGGTATTTCAGTTCTGCATTTGCAAACAAACTTCCTATCCATGTACTGAAAGTTGATGTGTAAACATGTGTGGTTAAACATCAACACATAGATTACAGTTGAAACACAATAACAGGAGTTATTTCACAATATGCTTCACAGAGAAATTCACGCACCGAGAATTAAAAATGCTCCTTCTTGCAGCTATTACACAAGAAATTAATTCAAGTTTAAGAAGGCACTTATCTATCTTTTGTCTATAATCAGCTGAAAAGTAATAATGTCATATACTAACTTGTCTCCATTTCCGAAATGTGAAGAAATTCTTATTCTCCCGAGATTTAACTCATCCACTTTCAAACCCTAAATCACCCGTGTGGACTTGTGTTCAGACACATTATGACAAGGAGGAAGAAAGGCTGAGAAATGTGATAGCAGCAGCAGCCAATAGAGACAGACGTCCACGCCTGCAACACAAGGAAGAGTCTAGATTCTTTGAATGCATCTGCAGACCGAGCAGTGAAAGGAGCCGTCAACACTGGTGGCACTGCCAAACGTGATGTAATGAGTTGTAGTATATTAATGAAATACCTAGATGATTCAAGGACGAATGCTCACACAGTGGCTTGGCTAGCTGTGGAAAATCCTTTAACATAATTCGGTACTCAAGTACTATTTCTCCATTAATATTAAATAAAATATTATAATCATTACACTTCTTTAACAGCTATAGTTAGTAGTTACCTTGAGGATTCAGATTTTTCATACATGATCAACTATAACATGATGATTTGTCACAGATTTAGCTGCCCAGCAGGGCAAAACATTGATATTTTATCTGTATGGTTATATAAAACCAGATATTGTCTTAGATTTCGGATATGGTAATATTGTAAGGGTATTCTTCTCCTGGTTTTAATGGTGCATTACGTTGAAGTGATTTAGTTTTCTGGTCAGACTGTTCTGTTCTAGTATTGGCCTTTACCCACTTATTCATTATTTATGCATTTTTATTCACTGCTCATTATCCACTTCTCATTATCATTATTATTATTATTGTTATTTAGCGCCGTTTCTTGTAATTTTTTGTACTTTATTTTGCATGCCTAGTTTTTAAGTTTTACATTTTTAAGTTTAAATTTTGAAATCTTTAATCTGACTCTTTCCCCTTGACTGCTGTAACACTGGAATTTCTCAATTGTGGGATCAATAAAGGTGTATCTTATCTCATCTTATTACTGACAATTATTTCACTTGTAAATATTTTGTGAAAGCACTAGTATTCAGCCCTACAATAACATTGCAATATCAATATCAAGGTATTCTCTAAATAATATTGTGATATTTGATTTTCTCCCTGCCCAACAGTTTTAAGAAATGGTTAAAACAATATCAAATATGGTCATGCAGCTATTACAATAATTCAGTAATATAGTATCTGCATAATTAACTTTACTTTCACTGTAGATAATTCTTTATTTACTTGTGGAAACTTTTTTTTTTTTTTTTACTAGAAATTATAAACCAAATTGCCAATATTCATTTTTCCTGAAGGAATATGGAATTTAGGGACTGTTCATTATTTATGAGATGGGAGGAAGTGGTGCAAAGCAGGGGGAGGCACTTAAAATAATTTTTTTAAGCACTGGGGAGGGAGTTACGTTTTTTGATTTGCCTTAGGGGAGGGAAATTCAACCTTAAATGGTCACATTTGTATTTATTTTCAATACCTGCAGAAACCCAAAAAGTGCAAGTGGGTTTGAAAGGATTTTTTTCTGTATCACACCATTTATCATAACCAGAAACTGTAAATATGTTATTTATGGTGGAGCGAGGGTCATGCATTTTCCCCCAGTCACTCAGGGAGGCTCAAGGAAAAATATTTGTACCTCCGGGGAGAGTTAAGATATTAAAAAATTAAAGTGTTACACCTCAGCCACGCCTCTGCTATGATAAGTGAAGTACAGTCCCTTAAAATAATTCAACATCAGTCCTATCTAGTTCTTGCTTTACTTTATGTTCATCAAAAGCTGAACAAAGCTGCCTTTTTTTAAACAAGCTTAATAAATACTGAAAGTTACAAATAGAGATACATACATATCTCTATTTGTAACTTTAATTAAGTAATGGACTGTTATTTTCATTATCAGTCCAGCAGCTGTATGTAGCAGTCTGATATCCTACTCCCTCTCTGTTCTGGCTTAATATTATTTATCATAGCCTACATAAAAAAATAACACAGTTACTAAAAACAGGATTTTTACTTGATTCTTGACATTTTTATTTACTTTGCTACTTTTAATTTAAGTAAAGGATCTGAACACTTCTTTCAGTACTGACACAAGCCTGCATGTAAAGATGAGGTCAAACCTCTGACCGCTTCTAGTACGCAGGAAGACGGCAAATAACACAGATAATGACCTTCATACTACAATGTGTGCCCAGAGACATTGCCTGGTGGCTCTATAGTCTACATTAAAACTGCAAGCGAAAATGACTATTTTACTATGTTATTTCAGCATTTTAAGACGTTACGGTGATGACGGTTACATAATGCTTACATACTTTCAGTGCCCTACAAAGTTGCTGTTGCATGGAGACAGTGACGACTGCGTCGTGGCAAACGGTCGATACATTAGCAGGCAGCGAAGCTAACGGTTAAGTCTTTGGTTCATTGAGTCTGAGCCTGGAGCTAATTCATGAAGCACCTGTTCAGAAGCTGACACTGTGATAATAAATTCACGGCGCAGTTTAGTGAAATAGAAACACTCACCTCTTTCAATGAAGCGACAGGCAGCTGTAATCGAGCGTTTTGTAAACAAAATTCTAGCGCAGGCGCACTAAACGATCCAGAGAACAGGAAAACTAATCGAAGATGGCTGCCTGATAAGATGTGAACTTTGACATAAAGGTTTCTGAGGAGCGAAACACGGCAAAACAAGATACACGGACAGGTAAATATGTAGATAACCTTTCTGTGAGCATGACTTGTTAAGTAGTTTATTACATGACAAACATAAAATGTGTTAAATCACTCCAACAGTTCAGTCTCCCCTCTGTCAGGCCAAAACAGTCATTTTTAAAGTGCTGGATTTGTGTGTTAGCATCAGAGCTGTTCCCTTAGATTAAGTTTAGAAACAAATCTTCATTAAAACACACAAAACACCATCACACAGCCAAGACCAGAACTGACAGTGGGTTAGTGAACAGTTAAAGTGGCACATTTTAACCAGAGTTGTGACACTGCACATCAGCCAAAGGTGAATGCATCCAGACAGGCATTACATTAAGAAATGCAGTAGGAGTAGAGCACAACATGTTGTGATGTAGAGAAAACTGGATTATAGAATACAGACATGCACATGGAAACATGCTGCAACCATTATTATGTAACTCCTCTCCAATAAACAGTCCATTCATTCACATGTGTGAGGTCTATCTTGACATGTTGTCTTGCATTATCCGAGCTGTTCTGAGTACTGCCAGCATGTTCACTTTATCCCCAAACTCCTTCTCTCGGTGCTCCAGTAGTATACCCTGGGGGCAAAGAAAAACACAACCATAATCCATTAAAACATCCAGTTACACTTGTCAGAAAATATTTGTTATGTAATTTACTGCCTACCTGATCTCCAGGCCCGATGACGAAGACTCCACCCAGGACAAGTCCTTCACCTTTGAGGTTTCCCCTGAAGCCCCGCCTGTAGGCCCGCCAAAGGCTCCTCCACACGCCAATACGCAGAAACATGGAGAGAAACATCCACCTCTGCTGAGGGCCGTAGAAGTTTCTCTGAGAAAAATGCAAAAGCAGCTTAGTGTCTTAACTTATGCAACCCTTAATGTGTTGCGTAATATCTCAAAGCCATGTATAAAATGTAAAGTGCGCACCTTTTGATCCACGTAGACCTTCCCAGTGAAGTACTTCTTGAAGCAGTCCAGCTCCTTGCCAAGGTTTTCTTTGACCACGGCAAACAGAGGGACTTCAAGGTCCTGCAGCTGGGACTTCAGAGAGGACAGCTCAGCAGCCTCCTTGAGAAGGAAGGACAAAGACAAATAGCATGGATGAAAGTTAACCTGTTAGGTGACTAAGGAGTTCTTGTCACTGATTACACATACAGCTCTGTGATTTCATACCTCTCTGCACAATAATCATCCAGGTCGCCGTACGACCATGACCACAGCTCCAGTCTTCTCCCACAGAGTTTTGGCCCTGTGTCGCTCATGGACTGAAAGAGACAATATGTGAAAACAAATTGAAGAACTCCATTGATTGTCTTGACCCTCATGAGCGATACAGCCACTGTTTTGGCCAGCTAAGAGTTTGTGGATGTGAGTTGTGTCCTGCTGTCATACTGTGTCAGACACAGAAAGATGTATTCTGACTAGTGTTGCGTTAGCCCTCCTGTAAAATGTTCATTAGTTTTATTTGTAAAGACAACTGGGGTTGTGTCAGTCTAACCTAATTAGAGGTCAGGGGATTAAAGTGGAGGCAGACAGTGTTTCCAAGTAGTCACAAGTGCTATATCGTGGGTAACTGGGCTTGCTTGCGTTTCTTGAAGACGTTACACCTCTCATCCAAGAAGCTTCTTCAATTCTAAATGACTGTTTCGGAGTTGCAGGCTTTAAACCCTGTGTGGGTGTGAACTCTTGCAGTGTTGTAGAAGTCACATGTGAGTTGTTGACCCTCCTAGCCACCATGTGAGTCGTTAGGGTCAGGTGGGACCAGGGGTGAATGAGTGTGAAGTCGTCTGGGAAGGGATCCCAAGACTGCATTGTAGATGGGTGATAAGTGGTGTAGGAGGCCACCGCCTCTGTTTAACAATGATTGTTCCAGCTTGACATAGATGGCTTCTTTTCCTCCTCTTTCAAACCATCTTTCTTCCCTGGCCTAGATGTGCACATTGCTGTCCTCAGGTCAAGATTCAGCTGTCCACTTACATCTAAAGGAAAGGAGCACTCCTTTGAGGACAGCAACGTGCACGTCTTGGCCAGGGAAAACAGATGGTTTGAGAGAGGAGTAAAAGAAGCCATCTACGTCAAGCTGGAACGACCATCTTTTAACAGAGGGGGTGGCCTACGACACCAGTCTAAATGCCGATGGTGTAATTATTCCATAGTTTTTACATTCTGCAATCAACATTTACCTCATGATAATAAGTTAAAGCAAAACTCTTGTCTATTTCCACTTTAAAACAAGTTCGTCCAATCAAGTTGTCACAGTCATTCTAGTACAAAATTTCCTCCTTTTTGGTTTCCCCGGTTAGTTCTTCCTTGTTGAGCTGCGATGGAGGAATTGTAACACAATGAGGGAATTTCAGGCTAAAAATCTACTACAAGTGCAGCATGTATGCAAGTTTGTAGATTCTGCTTGTGTATGTTTTTGGACTCACCGCCTCCAGTGGTCTTCAATTCTGTTTCCTCCAGCACTTCGAGGTTGGCCCATGCTGGTTTGGTCTGGAACCAGTCTGTGACAGAGCTGATGAGTTCTGCAACAAACAGGCTCAACGCCTTCAGGACCGTGGTCACGCTCACCATGACCCCAAACACACTCCGCTGGACACCTACAGAGAACACATGTAAAGATAAAATTTTAAATATGCTGCTGATTCAGGAACTTTTAACAAGATTAAAATGTTTTTTACCTTATCAGTCAGATCACTTTAGCATGGTTATCTGTATCCTTATACAGCTAAACAGGTGCACTAATGCATGATTTGTTAATTTCTTTATCTAATTATTTGTATTAGGTGTCTCAATAACCCCAAATATTAGAAACATATAAGAAACTTGTAGAAATGTGATGTTATTGTTCAGAAAGCAGGAATGCACTGTTCCATGCGATCGCTTGACACTCGGTCAGCATTTGATTGGATTAACAACATGCATGAATTCCACATATTATTCAAAGTAAAACCAATATGATGAAACACCATATCTTTAATGGCTTAAATTTTATCTTAACATTTGTCAATATATCAACCAAAAATGTAAACAAGTGATACTCACCAGACTGTGCCTCTCTGCTAGTGTGGA